CTATCATTACTATAATGATTGATTTGGCTGTTAGTTTAGTTGTACCATTCTTCGTTCCATATTGTCGAATGTTTTTATTCTTGGTACTTTTTGTTGTGCTGATGATTTTAGGAGACTGAGAATAAATCTGACTTTCTTGTCGACTCAAAAGGAAGAGTGGTAGCTCAAAGGGCTTGTTCAAACACGTCTCTTATCCTCGACTCTTCGTGAGAAACTTATATACATATATGAACATTATAGTTTGAAGAAATATTAAGTTTACAATTATCAAATTAATCATTTTTAATTACAAATAAATCAGAGATAACGAATTACATTAAGCTATACAAAACACTTGTACAGTATCTACGAAAACAAGTTTAAAGCTTATTTTTCTAGTATATAAAATGCAAAAATTACTGAAAGAAATAGTTACAGACATTTCATCATGTTGTCAGGAATCTCTATTAAGTTTTTGAATACCTAGTTCTGCTATCTTTCTAATTTCTTATTAAACATGACAAAGAAGCAGACAAAAATGTCAAACACAAGCTGAATTATATATTTTATATCTCATTTATTTCTACAATATAATAACTTAAATCATACTATTTTCAAAAATAAAATGCTGTACTTTGAAACACTTCTGAAAACGTTACACACAAATATACTTTCTTAAATATTATATTTCAAGCAGTTCACTCGTGTTGCGCTCAACGTAACTCAATGATTAGCTTACAGAACCATGGATCCTGTTACTGAAGAAATATATATATATATATATTAAATTCTATTGGGTCAGACAAGAGTAGCCAAAGAGTTGGCAATAGATGGTGTTGACTAGTTGCCTTCATCACTTCAAAATTGTGAACGGCGAGCGCAGATAAACCTTGTGCGTATATCTGTAACAAAGAAACAAACAAATCACTCGTGTTTGAGAAAAGCATCTTTGGAAAACAGCTGGGAAGCGCTGTTTATTTTGATTTATTTGCAAGTAGACGTTATTGTAATTAGTTACAATAGCACACTGCGTGTTCACGTTTTTATTAAAACTTGTGTCAGTGGTGGGACTCTCTTTTAAGTAACATTGATTATTTTATTGTGGACTTAAGCACCTGGTTGTCACCAATCAGCTCATTACTCAAGCTCATCAACCCAGAAAAGTCTTAATTTCACAAATAACAGCAACTTAAAATATGAAAGAATCACTATCTATTTTACCGTTCCATCATCAGACCTGGATATTTTAAGCTGTCATGATCTAATTTTACGAGGAGTAACACAGATTTTGGAAATAATCACAAAAGTTCAGTTATAGTTAATATTTCAACACATATGCCATAAGGTAGATCATTATCACTATTTTGATTTGCTTTTGATGTGGAATCTGAAATTGACTTACTAAGAGAAATATTTTTAAAAATATGTAGCCTTACGTGATTTTATAAGACGAATGTTAGGCATATTGATTCAGTTGTTTCTCCAGCTTTGGCGCTTAACACCGTAGCATTCATAAGTATTAAGTTAAAATTGCTAACATAAAACAGTAGGAGAAGCCGCTGAGTTTTTGTTTCATCAAAAAATAAACATAATATCTAAAACGGATCATTTTTCATCATAAATTCACGTGTGATTTGGAAATATGAAGAATCAGTTTCAGAAAATTACTCAGATGAAGAATATAAAAAAAGACAGAACATTTTAAAGCACTACCAGCATTATTTTAATAGTTTATTTTCATTTTTATAAATTTCACGATGATTTAACTAAGGATTAAAGTTTTCATTAGGAATTTGTTAGCTAGTTAGTTATACGGCGACTCAAACTTCAGTTAACTATATTTTTTTCTTTGAAAATCGAGTTTTGAGAAATTTGTATTTTCCACTTATTAAATTCCAAAACAGTCCTTTCTTATCTAGTGAGTTATCATAATCGAAATAATTACAAAGTTTTACTAATTATCTGATCAAAATAACATAAATATTATGTAAATAATTACGCATGCATAGTAAAATGTAATATTTTCAGTATTCTTGTTCTAAGTGTTCTCTCTAGATTAGTTAAAATATAGTTCCGATCATCAAAAAGAAATTAAAATCATTCTTTAGCAGTCTATTCTCAATGAATAACATGATTCACGAAGAAAATGTTTTATATTTTCCAACTTAGCTTCTGTTCTTATCTACATAAAATCATCTTTCCTATAAAGTTAATGTTTACCACAGTGACGACTCTTTCATCATATATGTACAAGAATTGAGGAAAACAAAGACAATTGTACGTTTCACAAGTATTTCATCTATTTGTTTCTCAGTTTGGATAATAAATCATCATGTAGCAAAACTATGGCAATAATAATTGAAATACTTGTGAAACGTACAATTTCTTTGTTTCCCTCAATTATGGAATTTCACCAAGTGCCGACAGTTTCAAGTATTAAATACATACGTAACATCTTTTTCGACATTGAATGGAATTCCCTATATTTTTTTCCTAAAATTGTGAATACTTTTTGGAAAGTGGTTTATTTTTAGTATAAGTATTATATTACTTAACACAAACACATCTACCGACAATAGGTGCTCTAAAAATACTTGTATTCCTTAAAACATGTTTGTTTGTTTTTTACCGAAAATAAGTACTTTATAAGGAATTGTATTTCTTAACATATACTCATATTCCGATAATAGATGGTTTTCAAGAACTTGTATTACATAACACAAACTGATCTACCAACAATAGGTGCTATACAAGGATTTGTACTACTTAGCACATGCTGACCTACCGACAATATGGGCTTTACAAGAGCTTGAATTACTTAAAATACACTGATCTACCGACAATAGATATTCTACAAAGACTTGTACTTCTTAACTCAAATTGATCTATCGACAATAGATGCTGTACAAGGACTTGTATTACTTAACATACACTGATCCACCGACAGTAGGTAATCTACAAAGATTTGTACTCCTTAACACATGTTGATCTACCGACAATAGGTGCTTTATAAGGATTTGTACTCCTCAACACATGCTGATATACTGATATTAGATGCTCTACAAGGGCTTATACTACTGTAACGGATAGACAATATCTGCAAAACCTGCTTGAAATCATCCGTTTTTGCTGATTTTCGAATAATAGTGTAATTGTGTAATAGTCAATTCGACATATGGTGGTAAAATTAAACAAAACATATTAATTGCAACGCTTCTGAAATGAATCATCTTTGTGTTATCTGAACGTTTCTGTTTTCTAATATATGAGTAGTAAATTGGAAAGGCCTTCCTTAATTTAGTGCTCCCACTGGCGTCATTATAACGTTGAAAATTGAGTTTCGATACCAGCAATAGGAAAAGTGCATATAAATCATTGTGTAATTTGGTGCTTAAAAACGTCTTATTATAACCGCATTGTGTATTAAAAACACATACATTTTTAGTTTCTTGAAATGCTAGTGGTCTAACAAAGAGCATATGTTTGAGTTTTTGTCTATATCACAGTTGTTTGAAAGAAAATTGATAACTCCAAGAAATAGAAAAAGGAGAAACAACAGTACAGCTAGCATAAAATTCCTATATTTATTATTTTCAAAATTACAAAAGTATATTCACTTAATTTTCCTGTTATCCTGTAAATGCTATTTGTAAATAACTGCCTTTTAAAATTACTTCTGTAGAATAACCATTGTTACAAGATGTATGTAAAAGGATTATGTGAAAAATAACTAAAATTTCATTATTGCTAACATGTAGATGACGAAAAGGATACTAATTAAGCCTAAAAATTAGCATTAACATTAATTCAATTTCAATACACTTTATCTAGCTGGTAAGACTAAATCCATATTTTACTAATGTTATTATAGTCTTTTCCTTTCAAATTTAAAACTCCTGGTTACTTTTTTGTTACATCTAAAGATTTTATGGTAGTATAGGATTTTTAGACGTTTTGCGCGTTATACTTTTCAACATCCTAAAATACCTTTATACCTTCCAACATCCTAAAATAGAAGTTGGCTACAGAAAAAGAACAATGTTTCGCAATATCGGAGGTAGTTATACCAGTGGTTAGGCGTTGCCTTTCTTACCGGAGGTAGTTATACCAGTGGTTGCAGGCGTTGCCTTCCTTACCGGAGGTAGTTATACCAGTGGTTGTAGGCGTTGCCTTCCTTACCGGAGGTAGTTATACCAGTGGTTCTAGGTGTTACCTTCTTTACCAGATGTAGTTATACCAGTGATTGTAGGTGTTACTTTCTTTACCAGATGTAGTTATACTAGCGACTGTAGGCGTTGCCTTCTTTACCGGAGGTAGTTATACTAGCGATTGTAGGCATTGCCTTCTTTACAGGAGGTAGTTATATTAGCGATTGTAGGCGTTGCCTTCTTTACCGGAGGTAGTTATACTAGCGATTGTAGGCATTGCCTTCTTTACAGGAGGTAGTTATACAAGCGATTGTAGGCGTTGCTTTTTTTATCGGAGGTAGTTATACTAGCGATTGTAGGCGTTGCCTTCTTTACCGGAGGTAGTTATACTAGCGATTGTAGGCGTTGCTTTCTTTATCGGAGGTAGTTACACCAATGGTTGTAGGCGTTGCCTTCCTTATCGGGGGTAGTTATACCAGTGATTGTAGGCGATAGCCTTCTTTACCGGTGGTAGTTATACTAGCGATTGTAGGCGTTGCCTTCTTTACGGAGGTAGCTATACCAATGGTTGTAGGTGTTGCTTTCCTTACCGGTGGTAGTTATACCAGTGGTTGTAGGTGTTACCTTTTTACCAGATGTAATTATACCAGTGATTGTTGGCTTTGCTTTTTTATCCATGTAATATATTGGAAAACTTTTTTCTGGGTGAAAAAACAACAACAAAAATTACATTCTTCTCCTAACAGAAAAAAACAGATAAAGAAAAAGAATTCTCACTACAGAAAATACGCATGTTAGTTGTACCATAAATACGAATGTTAATTGTACCATAAATATACTCTGTTTTACTTTACGTTCATCTGTTCCATGCAGACAAGCGACGAACAACTAACCATCCATGTCCAATTTGTGGGAAAACTTACGTGAACGAGGGATCGTTGAGAAAACACATCACAAGCCACCCTGAGACGTCATCAGTTTCATCGCCTCTGCGCATGTGGCCATGCTCTGTTTGCCAAAGTGTGTTTACTCAAGAAGCTGGTAAGTGATATTTTCTCCTTCTCAAAGAGCTTCGGCGAAATTGCTTTTTTTAAGCATAATTTCCAAATAATCATATTGACTATTGTCATTAAACTTGTATATTAATCAGGCCATCAGCTGCTGCTGTTCAAACACGGTATCAGTTCTAAATGCATTTCTTACTTCTTTTCAGCGAACAAGTACAAACTTTGCCTTTTTTAGATTTTAGATCATCTGGTATGTTTTAAGAAGTTAACACGCAGAGGCAGATCTAGTGAGGTATGTGTGTAAAGGGCGAAGATCCCTTCCCTGAACATAAAGTTTATCTCCTTATTTTCCGAATTTTAACGTAATCTTCTCGATTTCCGTGTTTTTCGCGTAACTTTGTTTCGTTTTATTTCGCTGTAGGCGTAAATCTGTATTTTATTGTTATCCTTCGTTACGTTTCCTTTATTTTTTGCATGAAGTATTCCTTATTTTCATGCTGACAAGCGAAACTGGAACACTCACATGTCGTAATCCCTATATTCGTGTTAGCAGGCGACATTGTAGCACTCGCATATCCATATTGCAATCCCTATGTTTATGCTGGCAGGCGACACTGGAGCACGAGCGTGAAAATGGATAAATATGCAATGGCATGATTGTAGAGTGATTAAAATGGATATGATAATTTAAGTATCATTAGTTGTGAGAAATACTGCAAAACACTGAGAAAAAGAAGAGACACAACTGTCGGAATACACTTGGGAGTATTCTTTCAGGCATTACTATAAATTTTCTTGTACTGTTACTGCTGCCTATATCCGTAGCTTCATGCTAAGTTTGAGAATGTGAAACGCCTTCTTATTTTGCACAGCTCATAATGTTGAGAGCAATATGAAAATTAATTGTTATTCACATCAGGGTAAATTTGCCATCTAGTCACATAGTTACCAACGTTTGAATAAAATATAGCTCTTCAGGTCAAACCTGTCATTCTCAAGGGACGAAATATACCTGTCAGCTTGTTATTTTCAAGGGAAGTAGTAAACTTGTCATCTAGTCACATAGTCACTAATGTTTGAATAAGATAAAGTGAAATCGTATGCCTTAAAAAAGTTTATGCGCAACGTTTCGACTATAGGTATACAACTGATTGTAAACTGACCAAAACACTCGATTACGCAATAATGACACGAGAACAATATTGACGACATAGAGTTGGATCGGTTGAGCATTATTTGTCAATTCCTTGTGTTGCACAGATAGGCCCTGACCACTTATGTGAAATCGGCTGTCTCGTAGGAGATGGAAGAGTTTCTTTACTGATGTTACCAGAAGCTTTCTGGATGTATACTGTACTACTGATCACTCATCATGGCTGGAGACGGCTTGAATGGGTAATGAAGAAAAACTTTAATATAACAGCAAATGTACAACGTTTCGACAAGGTTTTGTCATCATCAGGTACAAAACCTTGTCGAAACGTTG